AAATCCGCAATAAGAAGGAAATAATGTATGCTGAAGACCTGTGTAAAGGTGATATGGCAGGAAGGTTTCTTAGCAATAATGACAAGACTGATGCTACCGAAGATGAATCAGAGATAAGTGAGGAAGATGTCACATCGCAGCCAGTTCATTCGAAATTAGTATCACTACAAACAGCCACAAAACCTTGTAATTTTTTCTTTGCATAGTTGAAAAAAACAAGGCTTCATCACCATAAAATGAAAAGTAAAAAGCCTCATTCGCTAAAAATAATCTACAATTGGTATAATTTCTTTTTTCGGCATAGGCTGCAATCCTACGATTGCCTTTACGGGAAAAGGACAAGGGAAACCTTGGAAGGTACTTCATGATAACCTGAGCTTAACGAAACATTTAAAGTACTTTGTTCGACATCTGATCTTCCTGAGCAAGTAGCACTTTCTTTAAATGTGTATGTCTTCATTATGGTGATAAGAGTTCAAGGCAAGTATTCTGACAAATGCCTTCCCCAGAATGCAGATAGCCTTCTTTTGCACATTAAGAGAGCCAAGTACCAAGCAGCCATCAGGAAGAATTGTCTGCAATCGCACATTAATGTTCAACCTCCTGTGAGGCATGGATGGCACATTAAAAATGTTCGGTTAGAGATTCTTTGAATAACTGGACCTTCTGCTCCAGATACACTTATTGAGTGCGTAACATGCAAGTGTAAAGCTGGTTGCAAGAATCTTCGATGCTCGTGCGTGAAGTCTGACTTGCAATGTACTGACATTGTTCTGACTGCAGTAACTACGCCTCTGAAGATAACGGCCCAATAAAAGAGCCGGAGCAGTGTGATGATAGTGATTACGATGATGCTGAAGATACACATGACAACTTCATAAACGATTTCAATGAAATGTTCTATTAAGAATGCACTGCTCAGCAGTGTGTACAGCAGGAGCTAGATGGCGACCAGGGGTTTCTGAGTACGCAATCTCATGTGCCAATTTATTATCGTTATATCATATACACCAAAGATGAAGGACTCCTTCGCAATTCAATTTCAAGAATTGTTTTTCCATTTTTTAGTCTTTTTGTCCATCAAGCAGCTATGGAAGATTAATAGCTAAACATATCATTACAAATTAACTTAGATAGATTGATCCTTAATGATTATGTAGCACCGATTTTTTAATATGAGCCAGCAAATTTAGCGAATTTCACACAAAACAATATGGTGGATATAGAAAATAAATGTCGAATTTTTGATGGCTCTAGCTCTCTTGATTGCAAGTTTTCGGGGTGTAAACAGGCAGATTCATATTAAGTGAGTACATATCAGTACATCTATGTTGTTTTTACTTAGTCATGAATTTCTGCATCTCAACCTGAACAATAATCCACCATAGAATACGGCCTATCATATTATCTGTTCCTTTTTGCCTCCAAACATTAACAACTTCATGGAAGTTAAAAATATCATCCCTATTCGCCGTTTCGGAAATGATAATTACACTGCGAAGACTAGTGCCTAGTTGACAACGCACGTTGCATTGTGGTATATTTGAGGGGACGCTTTGCTTTACTAGCTCGTAAGCAAAAACAGTACACATAAATAATCGTGTAAGGCAATTAAATATAGCTGTAATTATAAAACAAACCTCTTTTTAATATGGGAAAGTGGAATTGTTGCGTACCTTGTTGTAATAACAGGGTTGTAAAAATTGCAGTTATTCTCCTTCCCAGTCGTTTCATCAAATTCCAATCAATCACAATATTCGGAAACAGTACCACATCTTGATCAAGAATGACACCTTAACGTTGCTGTCTGCTAGTACGAAAATTTGCGGTGCACATTTTCCTGGAAGAGCAAGATCTTTTACAAACCAGTTGCCATCACTGTTTCCATGGACGAAGAAAGTTGCTGCAAGAAGGGATATTGTAAAAAACGATATATATTTTTATGAACGAAAGCAAAGATACACAGAAGATAGTGATTGCCATCACTCCAATTGTAATGTTGTTGAAATTGGCAAAAAAAATGATGAAAGTCACAGAAACCCGTGTATTACAAATCCTAAAAGTCTGCAGTTTTTGTGCATACAGAATGCTGGGAAAGTATTCCAACAAAACAGGAGATATGTTTCATCTCTACGTGAAGAGATTGGAAAGTTGAAGTCCAGAGGGGCAAAGACTTGTCAAAAGAACAGGAATATATCTGTCTTAGAAAATGAAGTGAAACAATTGAAAGATAAAGTGCGGGTGCTCACATTTAAATTAAACAACGAGCCTCAATTTGACCTTGATAATTATAAAATGTCCAATGACAACATTGCTTTTTATACTGGCTTTCCTACCTATAGCCATGTCCTAATGTGCTTTGACCTATTGAAAGACAAAACCCACAAAATTCATTTTGGAGCTTTACAAACAAACAGCAATACATCAAATTCTGGGCAAGCAATTGGCCGTCAACAAAAGTTAACAAAGTGGCAGGAATTCACTATGGTACTGTTAAGGCTTTGACTTGGATTACTAGAAAAAGATTTTGCTCATCGTTTTAGGGTTGCTTTTCCACTGTTTCTGTCATTGTGCAAAGTTGGATAAGGTTCATGAGACAAGAGCTTGAGCCATTATGTATTCAATGGCCTAGCAAACAACTCATTCAGTCAGTTATGCCTTTGCAATTCCAGCAACTATGTCCTGAGGTTGTGTCAATAATTGACTGCACTGAAATTACAATGGAATCACCCTCCAGCCTGGACAATAAGGCAGCCTGCTATTCAAGCTACAATTCTTACTCCACAATGAAAGCTTTGGTCGAAATTACACCAAATGGTGTTGTGTCATTTGCCAGTGACCTTTTCTCAGGTTCAATTAGTGATCCTGAAATAATAAAAAGATCTGGTTATCTTGAAAAATTAAATTATGGTGATGCTGTTATGGCTAATAAAGGGTTTTTAATACAAGATGAACTAGGAGAAGTTGTCATCACTTGTTATACCTCATTTTCTCAAAGGAAAATCTCAATTTACTGTAGAAGAAAGCAAACATAACAAGAAAATAGCATGTTTACGAATTCATGTAGAAAGGTGCATGGAAAGATTAAAAAACTGGCATATATTTGATCGCTCAATGCCCGTTTCTCTTGCGAATATAGCCTCAGACATATGGATTGTAGTAGTTTGTATATCAAATTTCCTGCTGCCTTTAATAATGTAATTATTTTTCAAGCAGTTGTATCAGATTTGGACAAAATGAAATGTTGTGGTCTGTGTTATTGTAAATAGAACTCTACGTATAGGAAGATAAAATTACAAAATTTGAACATTTATGATCATACTTACAAATTAATATATTTAATACAACTTTTATATTACAATTGGGCTGGGAATTGAACAATTTTGCCCCACCTTTCACAATTAATTATATATTTTGAAATACAAGTTCTGGAAAAACATGGGTGTAATAAAATTGCCATAGTCTAGGAAGAATCTTATTCCAAAACACTTCATCAAAACAAATTTCATCAATGTAAACCCAAATGCCATTAGAAACAACAAAATGACACACAGAAATTACTTCATATTTTTTAAGTATGCCAGCTTCTGATTCAATTCCATCCTTCATTGTTTTGGTTTGAATTGGTGTATGGTAGTTAAGAACATAAGACATAGCTTTGGTAGGACTTGTTGTTGGTTTTATTAAGCATCTTTTGACGTTTGATGCTGTAATACAAGGATATCTAACATCATACCAAAGTTTTTACTCATGTTGATTGACAGTAATTTCCATTATGTGATTGCGGTCACTCACTGGTCCTAGCAACCTTTTCTTAACTCTTTCACTCTTGGTTTCTATCTCATTTAGTGACATTGGTAGATATTTTTTTGGAGAAACCAGCTGCATACTTGAATCATGTATGACTTAAAACAAAACACTGACCACTTTAAATGGTAAACAATCTTACGTTGCTCACTGGTGTCATGAAATCTTTCCTTTTTTGGCATTACTTCAGCCTCCGTATACCAAACAAGTTTGCAGCAAGTAAAATTTCTAAAAGTTTTTGTGCTTGGCATTGATATTTTATATAATCGCAATTGTGGTTGTCAAATCCTGGTGGGCGAAAAAAATTTTATTTTATGAGCCCCGCGTCTTTCCGCTGACTTTGACAACCAAATTCCGCCTGTTTTTGACCACGCAGCCACGCGCTAATAATTTATAGTAATTTGGTTGTCATTTCTCCTCCAGGTCTTATAGAACTCAATGCCTATGACTCAGGGGCAGATCCAGCAATTTTCGTGACTGATGCACCACTGCGAGCGCCAAAGGCGCTAGCTCTGTAGGGGGGTCTGGGAGGATGCCCCCGGAAAATTTTATATTTTAGACCGTCGGAAATGCGATTTCCTGCGTTTTGACAACAGAATTTAAAAAAACTTGGCTTTACTTAGTTTGTAAACTTTTCGCAAATTTCAATGATATAAAATCTAAAATTCCACTAACCTTTAAACATTTTCATTAACACTATCAGATTTATCAAGTTTCATACCTTCCCCAAAACTTACAATCAGGAAGGTATCATTCCAATCCACGAGTGATTTTGAAAAGGTAGAAGCTTGACATATTTTTGTCGTGAAACGCAAATAAACCTTTTATATCTCACAAATGAAGCACAAGTTTTTGACCATTAATCACACTTGATACCACTCGTCCAACAACAGCAAAAAACAATACGTAGATATAGCAAAGAAATGTTCACGATGTAATCATCGTACCAAGAGCAGGCAACAAGTAATGATAAATGTTATTCTTCTTCTTTCATTGATAATACCACTCCTTCAACAGCAGAAAAAGATACGTAGATATAGCAAAGAAATGTTCACAATGTAATCATCGTACCAAAAGCAAGCAACAAGTAATGATAAATGTTATTCTTCTTCTTTCATTGATAATATCACTCCTTCAACAGCAGAAAAAAATACGTAGATATAGCAAAGAAATGTTCACGCAGTTACCATCACCTCTAGTTCTACACAAGCAATAAAAATTAGAAAGTCTATTGAATGAAATAACTATTGACTCTATGTTGATAAAGAAAAGCCTTTTAGGGGAACATTCATCAAGCTTAAAGTGTAATTTTTTGGGTTACCTTTAACAATCCATAAATATTTTTTTAGATAATTGAATCTAAGCATGGTAATGCCAGTGCTATACTTTCCCAACCAAATTCATGACACCAGCTTTCAAGGGGAGTATAAGTACGTACCTAATAGCTAAATGAGAGCATACACTCAAAAAAACATCATCTTGTAAACTCAAGATTCCAGTTATAACAGCAACAGAGAAGATTCAAAGCAATATTCCAACTTCATATGAAAGTCATTATCAAGCTAGTTGTGGAAGAAATAATAAGGAATTCTTGTGGCTGAAATAATATGTAATTACAGTTTTCTTTGCTAAATTTCAGGGAATTGACAATATTAGGCATGCAATTTGAAAATGAAAAACTCTAATGAATAACATGCTTGATCCAGCATAGCTCTTACATTGAACACATTGCATAGCTCAGAAAGCTAGTATTTATAAACAAGCAAAATGTATGAAAAATTTTCCCTCTCTGTCTGTCACATTGAGCACATATTACAACATATTACATGGAATATTTATATATCTATAAAATATCCTGAAGTAATTTAATATTAAATAATTAGCTCTTATTTTTTTATGTATATTAAGTAACTTTGAAATCACAATATCCATGTGAGCAGAATTAGAGTGGAGATTTCTCCAGGAAGTACGTAGAGACTTCTACCAGTGACTTTAATCCGAAGAAATCTCTAGTATAAATATGCAGGATTACCCAAATTCAAACATATAGTTGTGAATAAAATGTTTTGTGATCTTATGTTACATGACACTTTATAAACTTGGCACAACAACATGCATAATTATGTGCACACTAGTTATGGCATAAATCCAAAGCATTGCATTATACTACTGGCTAAATTCCATTGAGCCAACAATATTGGACATGGAGTTTGAAAATTGACATTGTAAAATAGAATACAGTAAATTTCGATTTAATAGGCTAATGCAGGTCAGGATGCTTCGAAATTTAAATAAATTCAACAGGGAATAAACACCCCATGTGCCCCTTCCCATCATATTCCTAACATTAAAGAGAGTAAGCCATAAGCATTACATAAATACAAGTATAGACCTATAGCTATGCATTACAATGTCAAGCATAGTAAGCACTTCAAGCTACTTACTTTAAAGCCCGCCAATTATCTCCCATATGGTTAGGGCTAATCAACTCTGCGTTAAGATCACTCGCCAGCTTTCCTTTTCGAAACAGGTCTGTTTTAGTCGGAATGGCAGCAGAGACTTGCTTCATAATCCTTTCTTACAGAAGAAATCTCGCTGGTTTTACTCTCTTGAATCAATGAGCCAAAATCATATATATGCCTACTTTCAGCCATGGTGACTTCAAGATATAAATAAGCCAAATGCCATAGTCATGTAATTATAATTTTGAAGGTTTGAAGATTTATAACGCTGGCTCAAGTGCACCAGTCAGAATGAAATTTTGGTGTTCGTGGGCTTAAGTGCAACAGTCAGCAGCGATTTCCCACCGTGACGTAGGCTAAAAAACAATGAAATTCGTGATGTTTAGGTGGTTCACTCGGCCAAAGAGACTCGGGACTGTTGCACCAACTGGTGCACTTTTCCCCCACCGTGACGTAGTGATTCACCATCTAGCCACCGTGACGTAGTAATACAAATTCAGCTCAGTGTAGCTGGATGATGAAACAAATTTTCGCTAAAAATTTCGACACATAAAAACGCCATATTTAGCGACGCATTTTTTAATAATGCGGCTGTAATCAAAATGATACTCACATGTAAACAATGGACGAAGGTTTTTAACAATATTTCTCAATCATCAATGTACATTTGTTGTCAATATATTGTCAGTGTTAAGGTATTTAAAGAATTTAGAAACTATAAACGTTCCAATCTGATATATTTCTTGCATTTTGCTCGTATTGATTGTAAGTTATAATATGTTGTGAAAGATTAACTATTCAATTTTATGACTGATGCACTCGCATCAGTTGCACCAGCCTGGATCCGCCCCTGCTATGACTCATATTATATTGTTCTCGCAGTGCACTAAGGTATTGTAAAAAAGGATAAAGACATGATAAGAATCGGTTATAGAAGGATTGCAAACAAATATAAATCTTTAAAACAGTCATATGGTAAAGATTTCAAAGATGGGCTAAGATAAGGAGCTGGGCAGCTCATTGCAAAATTTTGGCGTGACTGTCATGAGTTATGGGGTGGATCAGATGAGACTAAGCCTCTTGATTTTGGAATAGAAACACATGTTATAGATGATGGTGCTGTCATTGATGATAGTTTTAACATCAATGATGATAAAGACATGTTAACTAGATTGTCAGGTGAGGAAACTGACTCTGATGAGGGTGAATGCAAAGGTCGTCTTGTTGGTGAAAAAAGGAAAGCATTGTGTAAATAGCCAAAACATTTTGTGGATAACAAGCGACAAAAATGCCTTACTCAAAAAGAGACAGGGTATTTTACTACAACATTCCAGAAAGCAACTTAATCTTCAGCAGGCAATGGTAGAAGCCATGAATTAAAACACTAAAGGACAAGAAACAGCAATTAAATCTATGGCTGATTCAACTGCATTGTTGTGCAACACCTTGGCAACTACGTTATCACGACATTCACCCTGTCCTTTAAAGATTAAGTCTTTCAACTGGGTGCCTGATTCGCTCAGAGCACCCCACAGGGGTGTGTTCAGATGTAGTAGGTATGCTTAGCTTGATTGGTAGCTGTTGGTACTTCATGTTGCGCAGGAGAATTTACAACTGTGGTTTCTGGCACATGATCGTGAGGCTGAATTTGAAATTCAGTTGTAGATGGAGGTTTGGGTGCAAGATTCTTCTTTGACACAGTTGGTCTCCCTACCATCAGGATAACGTACAAAGGCATAGTGAGGGTTTGCCTGGAGTAGCTCCACCTCGTCGACTAACAGATCAGTTTTATTTGTGCAAACATGACGCTTGAGGAGTACAGCACCTGGTTCTGTCATCCAAGTAGGAATCGATGCACCCGAAGATCGTCCAGGGAACTTGGAGTATTCATCAACTATGTTCAGGAAAAACTTGTTTCCGTTGTTGCTTGGCAATGGACCCTTGAAATCAATATTGATTCTTTTGAAGGGTTGAGTCGCTTTAATAAGTAGGACTTCCTCCGGCTTGTGATATCGAGGCTTAGATTCAGCGTATATTTGACATTGGTTTCCAGAGTGGATTCCAGAGTGGCTTAATGCGGTTGGAGAACTCTGGAATCCACTGAGAGTAGTAAAAGAACAGACCAAGGCACCTGTTGAGTGACTTAGAATCAGAGGCTCTGGTAGGTTGTGCAGAGAGCTTAGCCTTTCTGGATCTGGACGAATAACGCCTTCTTCAATTACATATCCAAGAATAGCCAGTTTCTGAGTTGAGAAGACACTCTGAGTCGTTGTAACAGATGTTCTTCCTCTTTGCTGCAGCAAGAAATTGCTTAAGTTTGCATTATGCTCTTGTTGGTCTTTACCGCAGTTAGTGATGTTATCCAAGTATGGAAATACTGCATTGAGTTTGTTCTGTTCAACAAATTTTACCATCTCACGTTGAAAACATGCAACCCCATTTGTCACACCAAATGGGAGGCGTGTAAACTGATAGAGATTGTTGCGTGCTTCAAAGGCTGTGTATTGCTTATCTTCCTCTTTGAGGGGAACCTGATGGTATGCACTTTGTAGATCAATTGTGCTGAAGACTCGATACTGTGCAATGTCATTTACCAAGTCATTTATCCTTGGTAGCGGGAAGGCGTCTAGTTGAGTGAAGCCATTAATAGTTTGGGAGTAGTCGATAGCAACTCTCTTTTTGTGATTATCATCCTTGGTCACAACGACTTTTGCTCTCCAAGGGGAGTTGCTTGGTTCTATGATCCCTTCTTTTAGCAGCCTTTCAACCTCTATCAATGAACTTTAAATCATCCTCACTGTAGCGACGAGATTTGCTTGCAATTGGACGACAGTTCTCAGTTAGGTTAGCAAATGGCTCAGCAGTGTCCATGTTGAGGGTACCAAAACCACAGACAGACAGTGGCGGTTGGCTGCCCCCATACTGAAATGTAATGCTCTCATGCTGTAACTGGAAGTCCAGGCCGAGTATGAGATCGGCGCACAGTCCAGGAAGGACTGAAAAGCAAAGGTTGGTCTATTTCTGGTCCTGGTATTCAAGGTTAGTCGTACAAGTACCTGTATCATTTCCTGACAAGACAGTGGAAGCCATGGAAACAGTTCCACTAGCTGGTTGCACAGTCAGCCCAGCCCTTTCAACTAGATTTGGGTGTACAAAACTCTCAGTGCTGCCACTGTCAAACAATACCTTTACTCTCAATCTTCCTAAGCTGACATTTGCTGTTGACTTTGATAGAGACCCAGGACATGAAGTGGTGGCTAAATAGGGGAGTGTATGGATGCTGATACCTTTAAAGTAGCTTTACTCTGACAAACCTTGGCATAGTGACCTTTTTCTGACACTTTGCACCTATAGCTTCCTTTGCAGGACATTTAGATTGTGGGTGCCTGTTGTTGCCACAGAAATAGCAGCTGGAAGTTGTTTCGACTGCAGCAGCAAGAGTATTCTCTTGGCCCTCTCCAGACCTTTAAGACTCAGCAGGAACAGCAGCATTGATGAGTGTATTTGGAGTTGAATACAACTCAGAACTCTTCATGGCTAACTCAAGAGATCTAGCCTGATCTAACATAGTTTTTGAGTCGAGTGTTTTGTTTTCCAAAAGTCTTTGGCGTATAACATTTGACTGTAACCCAGCAATAAATGCATCTCTAATGCTCTCTTCACAATATTGTACTGCTGTGATGTTCTTGAAGTTACAATCTTTGCTTAGTGCCTTCAGGGCTTGTAAATATTCGTGTAGTGTTTCTGTTGGAGCTTGTTTCCTAGTAGCTAAAAGATGGCGAGCAAAAACTTCGTTTTTCGGTTTGATAAAGAGATTCTGAAGTGTTTCAATCAATGTCTTATAATCTTCACAATCTTCTATGTGTTGAAAGATGCTTGGGGAGACGAAATTGGATAATACTGCAAGTTTATCCAAACCTTCTTTCGGCAAAACGGCCATGAAGTTTTCAAACGTACGTTTCCAATGAAGCCATTCTTTTGCCGCTATTCCACTGTTTGGATCGGTTTCTAGCTGCTCTGTCCGTATGACTTTATCCATTTCCTCTTGAAATTATCGTTGATTAAATTGTAGTGAAGGATTAACTACGCATTGACATGAAGTTAGGCTTTAATCAACGATAAACATAACCTAATTAATAAACATGGTGGCTGCCAAGACAGAAGACCGCTGACAATGATAATAACTGACTCATAAGCCACAGAACTCCAAAACCATGTAAAATGTACATAGAAGCAAATGTGGTTATCAGTTGACATGTTATTTTACTGGTACAATCTGCAGGTCTAAGCCCTTCTCCAGTGCAGTTGAAACAGCCACGTTTTTTTGCCAATAGTTGTTTTCTTTCTTTGATATCTGTTACCTTTGAGCAGTCTGTTGATTTGTGATCTGTTGCATCACAATAGACACATTTACACTGACCCAATTTGGTGTTGAATACATTTTCGCAGAGCTGATTTCGATTTTCTTTCTTTTCTCCATCACATGTAGGATTTCGCCTAGTCCACAAGGTTAAGGCTTCTATTATCTTAATATAATTACATTCATCCCAGTTGGGATCTGTACAAACCAAGTCGCTTCTTATACCCACTGATCTAATCATAGACTGGATATAGCTTCTATAGGTAGCAAAAGTGAAGCCTAATTATATATGCAAAATGTACTTCCGGGTACCACAAGAAGTACAAATTACTATAGAAATGTATGGCAGATAACGTTTACATACAAGGATTTTCGAATATTTAAGGCATTTTGTGACGTTTTACTAAAGTCAAACATCTGTCATGGATAAAACAAGTTGTGTTAATCAATTTGACATCAACATGATTCCGATATCTGTAAAATATCAGCGTTCGTTTTCAATTGAAATTTGGGCTTGCAAGAATTAAATTTGTCCCATCGTTGCGAAGGCAAGATAATTCAGCAGCTTCCTGCTTCGACCTGCTTCAATACAAATTCTTGTTCTTGATCGAACTATTTCACTGATCCTGTCAGAGGAGCCACGTTTTGTGAATCTTGCCCATTGCCTAGGCAATATTCCTTTGATTATGTGGAATGGATGCAACAACTCAAGCCTGATAAATAACAAAATTTATTCTCTTGCAATGTTTATGTCATACATATATTGCTCACTCAGACTATATCTTCAACCCATTCACAACAAAACATCACTCAAGATTTTGCTAAGCCGATTGGTTAACAAAAATTATAATAATTAAGGAGAATTTGTCTCGTTGTCAGTAGCACAATCAAATCATAACTTATTTCCAACGATGATGATTATGATGATTTTCCAATTCCATTTCCATGGACAGATGAAAATACAAAAATGTTTGTTTGTCAGTCTTATTGGAATTATTGATTTTTGTAGGACATCCAAAACCCCTTCAAATGATGTCCACACAGCTTGAATCGTCTCAACTCTTGTACTGCATTGCGTTTTGGATAGGTTTCTAAGCATTTGGCAGTTTTCGACCTTATCTACTTCTTCTTTTAGTGGTTGAAATTACTTTGTGATGGAAGTGAAAAATACAAAAAGCCCTCGCAGTATATCAAATATTTCCCGAACAATAACACTTGCTTCAAAACAATGTTTTATGACAGTATTGCAGAAATGAGCCTGACTTGATAAATATGGAACATCCCAATCAAGAATCTCAGATAGTTTCTGTTGAGTGATAATTAAATTGACTATACATGGCTGCTGCAAAATCGTACGACTGAAACATTATTCCTCAGTATTTAGTACACGTTGCTCTATTGCAGATAAAATATCTTGCACTTGCCCAAAACCAGTCTTATCATCAGTCTCTCATATCAAGATGTCTTTCACTTGGCTTTCCGGTTTTGTTGACGCATCTAAGAACAGATATTTTATTTATGTGCACCTTGTCTGGTGTTGTATCTGCCATCACTGAAAATGACCCGCTCTCTTAACTTCTTGTACAATGGTTCCTCTTAATTCTGTCATTAGTCTGAAGATGTTTTTGGAATAAAGACGAAATTTTACACCATCTTTTGTTTTAAAACCCTTGTATTATCTTGAATATCAAGAAAACAAGATGTCCGTTTTCGGAATTTGTTTTATCTTGTTTTACTTATAATTCTGTCTCAAGCAAGGATGAACTCATTCTGTGACTGGGGATTTAATAGTTGGCGTGGCAGAAGTTCATCTATTTATCTGTCAGCCATCGCTTATGACTTGGCACATGCTTACTAAGCTGCGACACAAATTAGTACAAGTTGCTATCTTCATCCTTGTGGGTGATAATCCAGCTTAAATTGCTGGATACATCTTAAATACTTTCTTAAATTCGATATAATCAATCAGTAAATCTTGTTGGAATGTCATGTGCTCTGTTGCACCGCTATCAAAATACCACTCATCGCTCCTTTTAACATTAGTTGACTTAAAATTTAAGGCTACATCATCATTGTCATTTGTTGATGTAAATTTCGCCATGTTTAATTGATGATTCCGATGATTAAGTGGACAGTTTCTGGCAATATGTCCAACTTTCTGACACTTGAAGCATTTTGGACCCTTACTTTGTGTTTGTTGATTGTGTTGGCTGTTCCATTGGTATAATGTCCTCCAAGACCTCTGCCATATCGAAAGCTTCCACTTCCTGGGAGACTTTCTCTCTTTGAAAATAGTGCTTCTTGACTTCTTGCATCTTGACTCAACTTCATTCCTTTCTTTTTTCGTTTCATGTATTCTTCAATCAGGAAACGTTTGACACTTTCCCAGTTACGTTCATCTATTTTCCTAGCATTTAAGCTTGATATGAACTTTCATATGACTCTGGTACGCTCCTGAACACCACAGGAGCAAATTTTTGTTCAGATATTTTTTTAAGTTCTCTCAACTGCTCTGCACGTGTCGTCATGTATGTGAAATGATCCATAATGTCAATCCCTTGTTTCAAGGTTGCTGCATACACTTTTCAATTCAATCTCACAATCTGTGTTATTGTTACGATTTCAAATTGCCTTTGCAGAGTTTCTCAAGCAACTAGAGGTTCAACTGTTGTGGAGATATGAACTTGTAGGCTCTTATTGAAACTCAATGCTATAATTTAAATAAACCTTATCCGATCGGAGTTCAAAGGCATTTTTAGTTTGCACAGTTGCTCTTTCAGCCAAAGGAGTTTCAGTTCCTATGATGATCCCCATAAACTATGTTCCACTAGAACCAACTTAATATTGTACTTTCATAGTAGTTATTCCCGCTAAAGTGTTCTATCTTCATAATCTCTGCCATGTCGCTAATTTGATTTTAACTCACGTTTAACTTATGAAAAACACATTGAAAAGAGAAGTATTCTAAATATTACAGGGCACCTGGGCCCATAACCTAATGATTTTGTTGTAAAAATATATAGAATACAAGAATGCTAAGCTATAAGAGCCTAAGACCATGATGCATGCATACTTAATTAACATAACTAAATAACTAACACAATTTGAATAATTATCATCAAAAGTGCATTCTTCATTTTCAGAGCTAGAACTTATTAGATTTATAAAAGTAGCCTGTTTTGGTTCCTTGGTAATGCTGTGTATGTCTTTAGTTGATTGGTACGGTGTTTGTATCACTTCATATTTGGGATGTTGCGTGGTCTTGCCATTTTCTACTGGAAAATGATTTCCTTAGACTTTGAAGTGGCCATAGATGACCATGGGTCTTGGCACTGATGCAAGTGCATCAGTCATAAATTGGAATATTCAATATTTTGTCACATTATGACTTACACTCAATTAAAGCTAAATGTAAGAGATATATCACATTGGATGTTTATAGTTTCAAAATGCTTTAAATTAATTAAATACTTTAATGCTGACAATATAGACAACAGATGTACATTGATAATTGAGAAATATAGTTTAAAGCCTTCTTAGACTGGCTACTTGTGAGTCTCATTTTGATTATGATGGCATTGTTAAGTTAATATATGGTGTTTTTATGTGTCAACATTTTTAGCAGAAAGTTTGTTTCATTATCCAGTAACACTGAGCTGCATTCATATTACTACGTCATGGTAGCTAAATGGTGCACGTAGATGTAGTAGACAAATTGCTTAGGTACCCCATGGGCGATTGACACGATATAGAGTATAAACAAGGTGGCGTCATTACTGGTCAAAACATTTGGAATTGTGTTACAAATTTCATGTTTTTCCAAGATTACGCATATTGTCTGGGAAAGTTCAACTCAGATGGAACATGTTTGAGAAGGTATTTACATTATGAATCTTTTAGGAGCAAAAGAGATCTCTAAAACGACATATATGTCAAAATACTTGAAACTGAATTTTTTGTGAAATGCAGGGGCTATTCCTACTGGAGCAATACATCAACTGTCATTTTCTATTCACTGGTGTTTTAAAATTCCCACTTTTAACTAGTAAGTCTCGCTGAACTTTTCTTTCTTGTCGTTTCTTGTTCAGCAAAGTTAAGCGCTACACACCAATTGTTTCTTTTGCCTTTATTTTTATTTTAGTAATGCCCGACACATGTACACAACAAATAACAAAAATAAGTGTACATATTATGTTTATATTAGCTTGATCGCGTGGGCTGCGCGTTGCACACTCGAAAACTTTTCCTATGCAAGAGCAGTATGCGGAAAAGTATTTCGCATTCGTACTAGGGCAACTCCAGTATTAGGATTGGAAACTTCTACTCATATGTACTGCCGAATTTTACAATTTATTGTTGTTATTTGTGCAACGAACTAGAATGCTGAATTTGGTGAATTCAATTCAATCTGCTTGTTTGTATTTGCTTGTGTGAACTTCTAGATTTACTTAAGAGGGAGAGGAAAAGTATTATATTTGCAGAAGAGAATAACTACAGTGGGAAATGCCTTGTAATAGTCACTATACTCACAAAACAATGCAAGGCAGAATGAAGGAGCACATTTTCGTTGATAAAAAGTCACACATCTTAAACACCTCACCTCACATAACTGTAAATCACAATACACCAACAACTGTTTCACAATTATTGACACTGCCAACTATTCTTTCACCCTCAAAATTAAAGAAGCCTTACACATTAACAAACTTAAACATGATCTCTATAAGCAATTTCAACAAGTTAATACCATTTTTAGTTTTATAGACAATATGCATAATGATGTTAGAGTGGTTGAGGAGCGCACTGCATTCTTGTGTGAGTAGTCACGCAGATCAAAACATTTCAACATGGCAACTCAGTGTTCACTCACGAGAAACTAGAAAACAAGCTTATAAAAAACAGCCAAACTATGCCTGATAAAATCGCCCCAAAAGCTCACTGAAACATAAAGAAGGGTTATTGATCGTGGAGAGAAGGATATGTGAGAAACACAATGTTCAAACCAAATGTAAAGCCTCGAAGGTGTTATTTTTGGTCAAGACTTGCCTTACTGCCTCCATGAAGAGCATAAGCTACACTGTTTATGTTCATTTAGATCAACTAACTGGTGAAGTTGAATATGCTAAATGTTTTTGCAAAGCAGGTCAAGGAGGATGCTGCAAACATGTAGCTGCTCGTTCATATACATTATTAGACTTTGCAAACCTCAAACTAAAAAATATTCCTGCTGACCTTACCTGCACTCAGCTTCCTCAGAAGTGGAGTGTGCCATCTGCTTGCTCAAAGACCCTTGACAAAGCAGTAAAGTTTGAAGACCTTTTCTTTGAAAAAGCTGAGGTGAACAATGCAAACAAGTAACATTCTGTACGAGGGACAAGAGGGGAATGTTGTGCTGTTTTACCATTTGCGGAGAATATTACAGAAGATGAAATCAGAAATACAACAAAAGCATTCAAATTAATTAATCGGGCCTTGTTATTTTGTTAGGCTGTAGATTCAAATGATTGTAAACCTTGTACACTGTTTGAGACATCTTTCATTTGATTGCAACAAAGGAGAAAGACAGATTGTGAGACTTCTAATAGCTCAAATTTGAAATTATCTGAAGCTCAGCTGATTAATTTAATCTTCAAGAATGTCCCAAGTGATTTTGATGCTCCATTAAATTACAGCCAGGAACAGGTAGAACTGGTGATAAAAAAGGTTGGTGTGACCGTATCTTATGCTATAAACATATGCATGAAAACAATGGAGCAAAGCTAAGATCTATCTGGTACCTTGAACGTGCTAAGAGAGTGACTGCATCAGTTTTTGGAAAAATAATTAATTGAAGAAAGTCCATGCAATCAACTCTGTTAGTTCAAGCAATAACCAAACAACATTTTAGTTAAAATATGAAAATTCGCGCAGCTATGAAATGGGGTATAGATAATGAGGATATTGCCATCCGAAGTTATAAAAGTGAAATCCGGAGTACAAATACCAGCATTGATGGAAGACACTGTGGTTTTGTCATTACCCCAAAATGGCCATGAGTTGGTTGCAGTCCCAATGGAGTTGTACTAAAAGAAGGCATACCTGTTGACTGTCTTGAAGTAAAGTGTCCTTTCTCTGTAAAAGATTTTACTATAAATGAAGCTGTAGAGAAAAGCCAAAGTTTCTGTCTAAAACAAACTGAAAGTAGCATAAAAGCTCAGGAAAATCAAATTCTTACTACCAGTGTCATGGTGTGATGAATATACTAAATCTACATTGGATTGACTTTGTGGATTGGATTTACATATAGAGCATATTTAAAAAGATTTAAATTTGTGGGAGACAAAAATGCTTCCTGAGTTAACTTCTTTTTTTTTCTTTCAATCTTCCTGTTTGTGAATAAGATTTACCTAACATTGTAATATTTACTTGTGCATATATAATGTATAAAAAACAGAACAGAAGAGTTTTGTGGTCATGAAAACTACTTTCTTCATCATGGTATATTTAATAATTATAAAGAGACTTAATTATTTACAATCAGTGTTGGTAAAAACTTTGACAGGTAGTAGCATACTACCCAAATTTTGTTCAAATCTGCATACATTGATATAGGAAATACCATACTTAATACTCCGAAAATTTTAAATCTGGCAATGGCCTTTTCCACATGAATTCTGACAGAAGCAACTCTTCAGGTTTTGGTTTCCTCTTAAAAAGGGAGGTGCTCCTTTGCATACAAAAAAGGAGGAATATTTGTTGATACACCACCAGGTAAATCATTTTTAATGTGAAATCCTCTAGCTGCCATTATAGAGTCCCATCTTCCAAAAGATTTAATATACCATGATCAACATTTACTTGTTTAGCACTTGATCTTCCTGCATACAAAGCAGAGACAAAAGTTACAGCTCCTGCAGGATATATGCCAATCTGTCCTTTGGCAGTGTTATGGTGTTCATAGTTAAAATATGTAACACTTTGACTTGTAAAAGAACTTGGTGTCTCAATAAATATCTCTGTACAATCAATGACTTGGCTTGCAGGGTACGTTTCTTTGAATGAATTTGGCATTGTTTTGTTGACAGATTCCCTGAATGGCCAAATTGGATAGCACCATAACTTTGAGTGTAGGAAATCAATTCATGTAATGAAGACTCTTGAGATTTGTGACTGAGACGAACCTGCTCTAGAAGCTAAATCTTCTTCCAAAACACCTGTACGCCAATGGCCCAAAACTAGAAAAATTCATGTTCCAGAGACAGAGATCTTTTAGGTCCACGTTTCAAAACATCTGCTGATGTTAATCTTGAGGAATCTGCTGGAACCATAATACACTAAACTTTTCACACTTGGGCCAAATGAATCAAACCATAAACCATGACCAGCCGACAATTTGAAGAAGTATAATATAAAACAAATTCCGAAGAAGCAAGACATCTTGAGATTGCAAAATATAAATCAAGACGAGAAGTAAACTGTAAAATTACGACTTTATTTCAAAGTCATCCTCAGACAGAATGATATTTAAAACCATACATACACATATATATTTACAACGCATGAAATAAGTGAACGGAAATAAGCAATAGAAATTAAATAGTGTGATATTTACTTCCTTTGCTTCTTCGGAATTTGTTTTATATTATGAATCAAACCATGCTTTAAGTGTTTTATAATCATGAAGTAAAATCTGAACATATAATCATTGTTCTTGAAACAGTCAACTAAAAATTGTTGTTGTCTTACTTGCTCGTCCAAGTTCTCTCTTAAAATCCGAATATCAGTCTTTCGCTGCTTGTTTTCGCCCTTCAACCGCTTGTTCTCTAGCATGAACTTTTCATTTGCAGCTAACAGTTTAGAAATTTGCTCTTGTAAATCAACGATATATTTCACTTTATTTCCAGAATTAATTTCATTTCGGAATTATCTCGTGAGAGTTCATCAATCTCTGCTTTTTTCAAGTCTAAACTTTCCGCCATCTTGTTTACCGCCAATAATACATCTGTTTTTTTAGTATTTGTTGTAGACAAATCTTTTACGGTGCTCTGATTTTCCACGAGTTTGATAATTTGATTGTTCATAGTGTTTATTTTCTTTCAAAATGCTTATTTCATTTTCATTTTTAACGCAATTAAAGCATTTTTCATCACGAAGTTTTGTAGTTTCTCCATGTATATAAGCGTGCACGTGTTTGTCAATGTTTGCCGCTTCTGGTTGTTCTGTTTTCGATGTGTATTGGTCAAAAATACTTTCCAAATTTAAGCCTTCACCCTTTAAAAAGCCAGCTTTTTTTTATTTGGTCCATACCATTTTAACAAGATTTCATCATTACTAAACTGCTTTGTGTCACCTCCTTTAGACATAAACAAATAAATTTTTGTAGCTGTTTAAAATCGCCATTCCCAACAAAGTCCATCAGAATTATTACAAGATAGATTACTTTTAGTGCTTGAAATTTCGTCAACATTGCGGTTACTAACATTTTTAACACTAGAATTAGTATTGCTACATTTTTAACACTAGAATTAGTACAGCGTGAGCTACGAGTATCTTGAATCATTGAACTATTTAGTGAAAAAGAAACCGTTGATGATTTCGCAGATGTTGAGTCAATTATCATACAGGAAAAAGATCCAATGAGAAAAATGCTAGAAAAATACCGAAAAACCTTTTACATTGCTCAAAAAATTTCTGGTGTTGCCAGTAAAGCTTGGAGCCACCAATTCCAAGAGCACGTGCTTCGTTTAATAAAGTCAGTCAAAGCTTGGGAGAAAAGAGAAAAAGTTGAACTCACGGTTGAGAAAATTCATGCTAAAAATGTTGAAATAATTTGTGGTGATGAAACAAGGTGTTTTATACAGCCCATCAATTAGAAAAATAAAAGGAGTAATGATGATAAGAAATTTCTCTGAATTCTTGATGTGGCTCGCACTCTGGCAAGGCAGTCATTGGCATTCAGAGGAGGTGGCGATGACAAGGATGGAAATTTCATTCAGACTGTAAATCTTCTCTCAAGACATTGTCCTGTTCTCAAGCTGTGGCTGGACAATCAGCGCCTCGGGCCATAAAGTACAACATATACAAGCCATAAAGTACAACATATACAAGCTCAGAGGCACAAAATGAGATGCTTCATTTGCCGGCTCAATCTGTGAGGGTTGAAATTAAGTCAGCTGGTATATTTTCTGTGTCTGCAGACAAAACACTTGATACATCGAATCAAGACAAGCTTATTGTTGTTGTAAGATATGTCGACCAGATGGGCATCCCATGCAAGAGACTGGTTGAAATGAAAGAGACCCTTGACAAAACTGCTGCTGGAAAGGCTAAAGATGTCATAAAATCTTTAATGAAAATGAAATCGATATAGATATGTTTGCATTTCAAACATACGATTTCACAACATCAATGTCTAGACGACTAAAAGTTGCTCAAAAAGTGTTGCAAGAAATTTTAAAACAACAAGTTCTTTACATCCCTTGCCAGGGACATTGGTCTAAAACAATCAACGAGCATTGTTACAAACATAGCTCAATAATTACATCAATGTACAAAACTCTAGAAGACATATATGTGTTTTTTAGCAAAAGCACAAAAAGAAATAAAATTATAGAAGAAAGTTGCAAAGATGTTGAAAACAATT